TCCCGGTACAATGTGTGAATGCATTATAACGTCCTCCGCGTAACATTTCTGTTATCTTGCTTAAAGCGTCGACAATCCATCTCATTTACACCCTCATAATCAGTCAGCATCACACCCGTGCTCGTGGGTTTCTGTGAAGTGGGGAAGTCTCGGGCTTGCGTCACTTTGACTCTTCCCCCTGCATTAAGCTGAGACTTTTGTGATACAACTGAAATAATGTTCCTCATTGGCGTTAAACATAACTCACTCATCTTTCCCACAGTCTTCTGGCCATCTCACCTGTTTTCCCGACCCGTGAAGATCCGGGATAGAATAGGCCTTCCGGAAGCCATTCTTGCCATAAAAGGCGACTATGCTTGTCGTAAGAGGCGTCTAACGGGATCGGGTGGTCAGGCTCGCTGACTAGGTTGATGCATGTCATCGTATCCCAATTGTGTATCAATCACTCGATTATCTGGTTCAGACTCGATTATTTACACACCGCCGTCATAGAGCTGGAATAGTGCTGAGTTCGGCGTTAAACAACAAACAAACTTGTTTCCCACCATCTCTCGCTGTCTTCCTCTATTCTGCTGGTTTCGTCTCTCCTTCAGTCAGTGTTTGCTCGTCTTCTGTCGCTCTCTTCTCATCTTCTGTTGCTATCTACCTCTGTTGCCCAACGCCTTCTCACTGTCTTCTCACTCAACTTTCTCACATTCTAATTGTATACAGAATTATTCTCACCTTCTCTCCATGGCTTCACACATTTCCTAGAAGACGATTGTGTTTCTTACGCCCACAATTAACGATGAAGGAAATTATATTTGATTAGGTAGTTACCATTCCAAAGCCCGCGCTATTCCTACGGCATTAGAAATATTTCTTCGTGGAATTAAACAGCAAAAGGCTTACGGTTGATTATTACCGCAAAAATAGTCACAAATCCCCTCTACTTTATTTTCAAGCCTAATATTTTTGCCCATGCTTTCGGCTAGAGAGTCAGTTTTCCATGTCACTATTGTTACAGCCGAGCGTTGACTTTCTGCAGTTACAATATGGCAGGGGATGCGTTCGGAAAGGTTATTGCAATTACAGAATTCCATTTTAAAAACTCTTTATGCTTCTTTAACAACAACTTATAACACGTGGCATATTTCTAAAAGGGTTGTTGGGTCGTTTGGACAATAGATATACAGATTTACAGGAATGTGTGTGCGTTCGTTTACTCAGTACCACGTGATAATTTAGGATCTTTATCAGAATGCATCAATTCGGTGAAAACAACCGCACGCTAAAATACATGTAAATATCACCTGGCGTTGTCATGGCTACGAAACGCTGGTAACTCAATAACATGTTAGTTATCTGCTGGGTATGAGACATTAGAGCGGCGTTGTGTTTTCCCCTCTTGTAACAACTGCCATCGACAATACGACGATGGTATTTGAAACAATAACTGATTTACCCACAGAGAAACGTTGACATTATCAGTGTTTCTGTATCTGGTGTTTGTCAGCGTGGCTGCACGCTCCCTTGGCGGAGGTTGATAAGATGCTGGTATAAGTCTACCAGATACACGGTGATGTCCTGCGGGTCCTAGCATCTGGATGCGGAAATGAGAACACGAGGTCGTTGTACTAATATCTTACATGCGCTCGGGAGAAAAACAAATTCAAAAATTGATTTGTGTACTTTCAAGAGTTGTATGAGAACACACCTCCAAGAGCACCAATATGGTCCTCTAATGGCATGGACTGCATTCGCGTGTCATTTTATAGCCAGCTGCAGAAGCACCTTCCCTCGGGCACTTGCAATAACCCATCCATATTTACTTGCGTCTTTCTCATCTCCATGTTCACCTTCAGAGGGAGAGGGTAGAAGTAAGAAAATAAAAAATGTGAATTTATATAACTGCCTTTTCGTTGGAAACAGAAATGTCTGATGCTTAAGATATGTAAGATGATTTTAAGCACTGACTCTCACTTTGTGTGATTTCATTGGAGTAAGAACCTTCATAGAGTGAGGGCCAAACTGTATGAACGTCGGATCCTGGCATTCTCTCTATGAAGGTTCATACTCCAATGAACTCACACAACGTGAAAGTCAATTCTTATATTTTTTTATATCACTATTTTGTACCTCGAAGGATTAAGCGCTGTTTCTATACAGAGTTGTATTTAAAGTGGTACGTGTGACTTCCTGTTTACACTGACAGCCATACAACAACCACCTGTATCGCGGAATAAAATAGTTCTTCACAAAGAGAGGTGACATGTATGCCCTGCTTGCTTTACAGTGACATCTGTTGCAGTTTGTTTACAACAATGGTCTTCAAATAATGTCTCCACTGGATGAGAAAGGTCTGTTAAGAACTACTAAGCCAGTCACAATGACAGCGCGTAGTAATTATTTTACATCAAGTACAAGACATCAAAATGGCCGACACGATGAACGTGACAGGAGAGATTTCCGAAGTTGTTAATGAACCTGTGGCGGTTATATACGTTTGTCATCATTGATCATTTGGTCGATCATTAGAAAGGTGATTAAAAAGATGTGTCAAATAGATACTAAGGTAATCCATAGATTGCTGTAGTCTGTCAATGTCAGTCCAGACAAAGATGGAGTCGATACTGCGACAGTTTTGATGTGCAGTTCTTCGTTTTGTTCGTAGCTGGGACATTCGTGAACGGGCATGCAGTCAAACTCTCTGACGTGTTCCAAATGAATGTATCCCGAAACGCCGAGTTCAAGATTAAAGGGTCTTTTCCCCGTTAACATGCGCCTCTATACATATGTGTGTATATGTGGATACGTGTGTAGAAATACATACATGAGTAAGTATACTTGTCATGTGAACGCGTTTACTCATGTGTGTATATTTACACAAGGAGCAAATTTGCATTATGTCTGGAGCAGGTGCAAATGTAAATGTAAATTTGCACTGTGTGTATATGTTGCAGTGTGAACGTTTACGTTAACGTAAGAGGATGATCTAATCAATATCTGTTCTTTTGCCAACACCAAACAAATTGTCAACAGTTGCCAACTTTCATGCGTATATACAGAGTTGAGCGGACGGTGTTTTCTTTTGGTTTCAAGGACTCAAAACTTTGTGTACAAATTAAATCAAACACATGTTGCTTCACGCGAAAATGAACTCTCTTCTCATTCAGCTTTGATTGGAAAACAACCTGTTTTGTGTTGAAAGTCGTAAACAGGCTGACGAATGAGTGTGCCTTGCACAATGTACATACTATATTTACACACCTAAGTTGATTTTTATGTGAACGCATAGTAAATTTACATATACACACATATGTTTAGTTACACATGTGTAAAATTACTCACGTTAGTAAATGTTGTGCATGTGAAAGGGGTATAAGAAAAAAACGCTTCTCTGTGTATTCGTGCTAGGGAATTCCCAGGAATGTGGAAGTACTCCGTCAGTTTTTACGTCATTTCAAGAATAGTCACGTGAAAAACGCATTAACGTCAAGTTCACGGTCATGTGACCCGCCTCTCGTCCAATGGAGAAAGCGTACAATGTCAATTTATCAGATCTCAGTTCTCGCTGTAGCTAAAAAAGATCTGAGGACATCCCATTACGGGTCACGTCAGAACGACCTTTCCCGAACTTTGACAGATCACTGATATGACTCACAAGAAGTCGACATCAGCCAATTAGAAAGCAGCTTTCTCGAGCTTTACGGGACTCGTTTCAACCTGGGGACTTCCATTTCAGACTACGCTTGAAAAATATGTTGACACAGTTCTCGATTAAAATGTTGAAAACTGAACAAACGAATGTCCGGAATGTCCCACATACTGTGCAACGCCTCCTCCGTCCAAATGTTTATCCCATGGAAGCGAGAGAGAGACAATAAGCATTTGACAGAATCAGTCAATTCTCCATGTTAACGTTTTCGAGGTTGCATGATGAGAAAACACATTCTGACTGTCACTTTCATGATCTGGTAAGCGACGCTTTGATTGGTCGGATGAAAGGTCGTTCTGACGTGACCCGTAATGGGATGTCCTCAGATCTTTGTTTAGCGACAGCGAGAACTAAGATCTGATTTTAATGAGATAGCGATACCGTATATCGTGTACAGTTCACATTAAAAACATATAAGGAGATAAAACCTGCTGTGTTTTGAAATTTGAGGGGGTCTAACCGTAGATTAGATTCTTCTTCGTTTATTTTGGAGAGCTTAAGTGTGAGGTTTCACTTACATAGATAAGAGGCAGTGTACGTCATGTTAATGTATTTATTTGTGCGTGTTCTGAAATAGTGTTCATCATGTTTGATAAGATGTGATCAAGTGTGGGTGTGCCCTGTGCCATTAGGTGACAAAACACCTGATAATGTTCTGATATCTGACGTGAATAGTTCTAAAGAGTTATCGGCAGACATTGTTATATGCAGTGATACGTAGCGTGTATTCACACGCAAGGTTTTTGTTTGAAAGTGGTTGTTAATGTTCCATTAGATACTCGACTTAAACCTTATTTTAATTAATAAAAAAATAAGTATTCTTCGGTGTCACGATGAAATAGTTCACTATTTGAAGTCTTGACCTCATCGGGTACAAAAAGATTATTAATAGTGAACATTTTTTTAAAAACGCGTATTAAACGCTTATTCATTCAGAGTATCATAACAGTCGATGCATTTCATTTTTTTAATCTTCTTACAAATGACAGAGTAAAAACCGGCTTGGAGGTTTTTTTTATGTAGCGTGATATTTCTTAATCTGTGAGTGAGTGAGTGAGTATGGGTTTACGCCGATTTTAGCAATATTCCAGAAATATCACGGCGGGGGACACCAGAAATGGGCTTCACACATTGTACCCTTGTCGGGAATCGAACCCGGGTCTTCGGCGTTATCACAACCACACCGACAGTCATGACGACTGCAGCCACGATTGCAACCTACAGGGTCGCTAAGACACCACCAAACTGCTTCTACGACTACAACCACGACTGATCGATAGTCACCACGACTACCTACAAAAGCATGACTGCCACTTCGACTACCACCAAGACTACCACTGCCTCTATAACCATCGCGAGTGCTACCAACTCCTACATTGACTGCCACTACAACTACCAACATGACTGTCACTTCAACTACCAACATGACTGTCACTACAACTACCAACATGACTGTCACTTCAACTACCAACATGACTGTCACTACAACTACCAACATGACTGTCACTTCAACTACCAACATGACTGCCACTACAACTACCAACTTGACTGCCACTACAACTACCAACATGACTACCACTACGACTTACAACATGACTGCCACTACGACTACCAACTTGCAATTGACTGCCACTACAACTATCAAAATGACTGCCACTACAACTACCAACATGACTGCCACTACGACTTACAACTTGACTGCCACTACAACTACCAACATGACTGCCACTACAACTACCAACTTGACTGCCACTACAACTACCAACATGACTGCCACTACAACTACCAACTTGACTGTTACTACAACTACCAACATGACTGCCACTACACCTACCAACATGACTGCCACTACAACTACCAACATGACTGCCACTACGACTTACAACTTGACTGCCACTATAACTACCAACGTGACTACCACTACAACTACCAACATGAGTGCCACTACGACTACCAACTTGACTGTCACTACGACTACCACCGTGACTGACACTGCCTCCACACGACTACATCTACAATCACCACGACTGCCACTTCGACTACCAGCTTGACTGTCACAACGACTGCAACCACAATCGCCACGACTGACATTGCGACTGCCACTAAGACTACCAAAACCACTGTCACTTTAACTAAACCTACGACTACTACAACGACTGTCACTACCGCCACGACTGCTGTCACAACCTCTGCTCGCCCTGTAGCGGTTTCAACCAGACCTGTGCTAGTATTTCTTACATGTTTGTGGCCTTCTCCACTGGAATGGAAATTGTTTTTGTTTTTGTGACAGTCGTTTCAAATAAACTTTCTTTTACTTGTTTGAGCATACCCGATAAAGAGTCACAGTTATGCATGTAACTAAATGTGGCATTGCACATTTTATGTCTGACAAATATCGAGAAATAACACAATCCACTTTTTTCAACCTCGAACGTTTGTTCGCAGAACGAGTTTAATGAAAACCATACACAAAAGATATTGTTCTCAGTATCTATTAATACCACAGAAGGTTTCAGAAATGTCACACACAAAAGTATCGATTGTATCTGAGCAACATAATATGACCAGATAAAGACATAAGCGAGTTATTATTCAAATTCACGCGCAGCTAAACACGTGCTTCCCATGGCGCTTTCCTTGATGAGTTAGTGAGTATGGTTTTACGCTGCTTTTAGCAATATTCCAGCAATATCACGGCGGGGGATACCAGAAATGGGCTTCACACACTCTACCCATGTCGGGAATTGACTGGTGACCCGGGTCTTCGGATGACGTTTTAACCACTAGGCTACCGGACCATCCCCTTACCTGGAAGACTCCTGCATGACGTAAAATGTGCTCCTGTGAAAACACTGGGAATGAATAATTATTATTGTCATGTTCTATGGTTATACAATGCGTGTACATTTCGTAAAATCTACATTGCTAATAAATACTATATTTATCCTACACAACATCAGTTTAGTATACAAATGGTTGTTTATAATCCTGAAATCATGAGAAATTTGGCCGTGTTTTTTTGTAAACAGGTAAGTTCACGCAGACAATTTGCTGTAATGCTGTAACATGGGCAGATTGAATACATAACATTAATAAAGAATATTCAAACCGCCAAATAGTGTATGCTGCGTGCGTAAAACCTTCATGATAAGTGCGGGGCTGAGCTTTGTGACGATGTGAGTGGGTGGGTGAGTGAACTGGCTTAATGCCGCTGTGAACACATCTTCCCGAGGCAAGGGAGTTAAACCCTGACAAGTCAAGTTTCCACCCTTGCAGAACAAGGCTAGAATTGTGGAGTTATATTTTGGCTGGGCTAACAAGTTCATTCATAGTCCAATCAAATCGCGTAATGAAATCGACATCGGGTTTGTAAACTATCGTGCAGATTTCGGTCGATTACAGGATTTGCAAAGGATGTGTACCGCCAACTCGGCGTCAACAAATATTTTCCAAATCTTTTCAGGTTTTTAATCAAGGGGCTCACGTGATTGGAAGTAAGACCCTTTTTCATTACAAAGTAGATCTTGATTAGTAATCGCCATTTTATTTGAAGCAAATGCAAGTGATATGAGAGGTGGAATGTGATTGGTCAATAGGAGGGACATTGAAGGGACGTAATTCGTAATAGCCACTGATAGCGCTACGATCGAGCCCAGAAATTCCCGCGTAGTTCGGCCAGTGTGGAAACTGGACTGTTACAGTCAGTTAACTCCCTTGTCTCGGGAAGATGCTGTGAACAATATTTCAGTGATATCAGGGCGACTCAGCTGGATGTGGGAGGAAAGCCTCAAGTGCCGTAGGTCGTACACATTTACTATTTTTGTGAAACCAACAAACGAAGGACCAACAAATTGTGAATCTGGTACCCAGTGTCAGCGAATTCTGGCACGGCCAAGGGACGCAACTCTATACATCTAACTGCGATACCTTACACAGTTTGGCTCCTAATACATTCTACGATAGTCTGTCACACAGACCGTGACATAAATATATCCCAAATAGCCCTTGCAAGTCTATAACAGTTTGCAAGTCTAAATTACTGCAGTTTTATGCCTTTTTTTATCATATGTGATAATCTAACAACTGTTTTTATTCTGTAAAATATTTTCATTTCCGAGACTAGATATGAGTCTAATTCAACGACATCATCTTGCTCTATTTATTACTTTAGATACAATGACATCTAATTTGTCAACGACCCGTGAAGATCCGGGGTAGAATAGGTCTTCAGCAACCCATGCTTGCCGTAAAAGACGACTATGCGGGATCGGTTGGTCAGGCTCGCTGACTTGGTTGATGCATGTCAGCGATCCCAATTACGTGGATCGATACTCATGATATTAATCACTGAATTGTCTGATCCAGACTCGATTATTTACAGACCGCCGTCATATAGCTGGAATTTTGCTGAGTGCGACGTTAAACAACAACCAACCAACCAAACATCAACATGTCCATGTTTTCTACCCGAAGGTTTCACAGAATGCCTTCGGGTGGAAAGAAGACCACGCGGGCCACCACTCTAAATCCCAGCGAACCAGATTAAATCGCAACCCAGATTTTCAATTTAGTTTTCTTTGTTTTCTTTGTTTTCTTTGTTTGCTGTTTAATGCCGCACTCGGCAATATTCCAGCGAAATGACGGGGGTTTGTCAATAATCTAAAACAACGATCAACGCCTTTGAGGTACGATGCCACGTTAATCAACCACGTTCGTCAACGACGCGCCAGACCACCTGTCCATTTGTTCAACACATGATTGGGGTCAGATAAAAAATCAGTGACAATTGTAAAACACCCAGATAAACTGACACAATCTTGTCCAAGCACAATTTGTTTTAAACAGAAAGAGCGTCATGACACTGAATGGAATACGTTAAAACACTCTCAACAAAACAAAGACAAAAAGAGAGAATACACTCTTGTCAACAGTAAAAGATCTAAATTTACGCATAACATGTCATCACTGTTGACATTTCTTTAAACAGCATCAGTTTTGACAGTCAAGTTTAATTTAGTGTCTACAAATGTTCCCCAAATATTTATATTCAGTGACAATCTCAACCGGCTCGTGATTGATGGTGACAGGTGTTTTGTTGTTCTTTTTATGTCTAAAATCAATTATTCGTTAATCAGTTTTTGTCACATTTAACACAAGATAATTGTCATCATACCACTTTGCAAATGAACTCATTTCCTCCCTGTGGTGTTGTTCGTTGTCTGTAGTGAGACCATCCAATACTTAACCATCAGCAAACTTGACATTCAGGCAATTGGGCGCATGCCTCACACAATCGTTCCTGTACAGGATGAAAAGCACGGGGGAGATGACACAACCCTGTAAAGTGCATGTGTTCACGTACCATTTGAGGCCGATTGATGAGAAAACTTTGAATCCATAATAAAATATTTACAAATAATTTTGATCAACATATCAAACAACTTTCCCAATAAAATGTGTGGCTGAATTATATTAAAAGCAGAAGAAAGTCAATGAAAAGAATTCGGAGATATGATTTAGACAGCTCTAGATGTTTAAAAACACCGCTTAAAATAACAGGTTTTGCGTCTTCAACTGTACGCCTAGTTCAATATGCAAGGGGTCAAGATTGTCTGTCTGGCTATCTGTTTGTTTGTTTGTTTGTTTGTTAGTTTGTTTGTTTGTTGTTTAACGCTACTAACGGGATCGGGTGGTCAGATTCGCTGATTTTGTTGATGCATGTCATCGTATCCCAATTACATGGATCCATACACATGATGTCAATCACTGGGTTGTCTGATCCAGACTCGATTATTCACAGACCGCCTTCATGTAGCTGGAATATTGCTGATTGCGGCATTAAACAATCAACAAAACAAAGAAAACTAAATTGAAAATCTTTTGGTTGGCGACTATTATGAAGAATCATTAAAGTTCAGGACCAAATTTCACTTCTATGTAGGCTAGGCTTAAAACGTTTTGCACTCCCTCGTGCGATAAAAAAGAGGAGATAATTTGTTCTATTATGAAATACCATAGGCAGCAAAGCAAGGTAATAAGTAAGCATAGATGATGGGGAAGTTGCAGCAACTGGTGACATCCATCTCCCCTACTGGACCAAGGTAAAGACCCCGTCGGGAGAAGGTGATATCACAACACTACCTACACACTAATCATGTCTGTGCGGAAAATGGCAAATGGTCATCCAGCTATCTGTGAACAAGCAGCAAATGTGGCATTTGAAAGTCTTCATACTGACAGCCCTATGCGATATACTTAGCATCCCCAGCTGCCCATCAATATAAACAATTTACCATCTCGTGATGTACAGTGTTCACTTACAGGCATTAAGGACTCTACGCATGCGCACCTATGGTCGGCTATGGTAAAGATGTGGACCACATGTTTTGACCGTCGCCCGTTGCATAAAAAACATTTAACCAGCTGCGCGAATCAACAGTGGATCCAGTTTACATTGGGTACTAGGGACTTAGCCCTCAAAGGATTTCCCTGGTGAGACGAGTAGTGGGATAGTGGGGACTTCGTCCACCCCGGATTTCCCTGGTAAGACGAGTAGTGGGAAAGTGGGGACTCAGTCTTCCCCGGATTTCCCTGGTGAGACGAGTAGTGGGATAGTGGGGACTCAGTCTTCCCCGGATTTCCCTGGTGAGACGAGTAGTGGGAAAGTGGGGACTCAGTCTTCCCCGGATTTCTCTGGTGAGACGAGTAGTGGGATAGTGGGGACTCAGTCTTCCCCGGATTTCCCTGGTGAGACGAGTAGTGGGAAAGTGGGGACTTCGGGCAGAAAACTTGGAAATAATCGAGTCTGGACCAGATAAACCAGTGATCGATTGGGATCGATGACATGCATCAACTACGTCAGCGAGCCTGACCACCCGATCCCGTTAGTCGCCTCTTACCACAAACATATGCGCCTTTTACCGCAAGCTTGGGTTGCTGAAGACCTATTCTACCTCGGATCTTCACGGGTCTTGAAGTCTGAAGTCTGAA